TATTTATGCACACAGGATTGGGGTTTATGCCAGAGGAGCAGGGGGTGAGAGGATTCACCAGAGACGGAGTGGGGAGCAGAACAGGCGGATTGACTGAAACACACAGGAGAGGTCTGCTAGGCCATGGGGGTCATCAGCTCCCTGGTGGTAGGCATAGCTTTATAGCACTAAGACTTTAACCCCTGCACCACCAGGGAGGCCCCACCCTGGGAACTTTTAAAGTGCACAGCACTGACCTGCCCTATAGGTTTCAGGCAAATACCTCATGCAGGAGGGAGCCCAGCGTCCCACAGCGGCCACGTGAGTGCTGCTCTTTGTTCATGGAAGTGCGTTTCATCCCTGGAAGAAAAGAGATCATCCATGGAGACCAGAGAGGCTCAGAGACGGTCACCCCTAAGGAATGAGGGCGGGCCAGATGGGCACAGGAGAGGGCAGGGTGACTGGCTCTGTGTCAGCGTCCAGTTCATATGCCTGCTGCGTCCCCACCCGCCAGACCACTTCTGGCGGCCAGGCCTCAGCACGGGCGAGGGCTTGACTGCAGTGGATGAGGCTGGGAGGGGCAGAGGCTATGGAAACCGGGGTGTGGAGATGAGCTCCAGAGAGGAAGGGCGGCCTGAACATACTCATTCATTCATCCTTGTGTTCCAGAAAATCACCCAGCGCCTCCGTGGCGGAGGGCTGGACGTCAGTGACCAGACACGTGCTCTGCCCTACTTGTGCCACTCCAGGGCCACACTTTGGGGTCAGGTGGGGGCTGCGGAGTCAGTCTGAGAAGAAGGCACAGGGGCAGCCGTCTTGGTCTGTCCTGGAAGAAACCGCAGACATGAGTGGGGACTCCTGAGAGGCAGGCAGGCAAGAGGCTACCACTGGGTCAGGTTTACCCAGGCACATCAGCATGCCTGGGCCCACCCAGTAGACCGGCCAGGACTCCTGCATCCCGAAGCCTCCTCTCCAGCCAGAGGGACCAGCTAGGCAGTGTGGGGGTCTCAGGCACCCATCCTCACCACAGGGCAGGCCCAGCTGCGGGGGGGACGGGGCCTTCCCATGTGAGGGAGGAGTGGAGATTCTAGAGGAATGAAGGGAGAAGGGGGAAGAGACAGAGGAGAGGAAACTGCCTTTGGAAACAGAGCGCCGTGCCAAGGAGCGGGCATTCCAGGGCCTGGCCTGAGTGGTTCTGGGCGACTCCTCCATCCTACCCCTCCACAAAATCAGCTCCTCTTTTTCTTGTTTTTTCTCTTCTTATTCTTTTTATTCCCATTTTCCTCTCTCAAGCCCAAGCCCTTGGTCTGCCAAGGACCTTTGTTTGGAAGGTTTGTTCTAGAACTGTCCAGACTTTACAGTCCATGGTCGAAGTGAAGAAGACAGAGGGTCAAGTCGGGAATGGCCGGCGCTACTGACCTACACCCAGGGCTTCTGAACTTTGTGGCTTTGATGACTGTCGGACTCCTGTGTGTAAAGGATGTAGACCGTGGGGAATTGTATGCTCACTCCTATAGGGTTTAAGGAACCACTGAAGTCTGCCCACGGGCTGCTGCCATTCACTGTGGGCCAGTGTCCGCTGTGTGGCTGCGTGGCACCCCCGTGGGCTCTGGAACACCACTTCCTGGGTTTGACTTGTTGTCAAGGCCTTTGCTTATTACGGGCTAGCTGGGCAAATCATTTAAACTCAGTTTCTTCATCTGTGAAATAAAGAGGGAAAACCAGCCTGTAGGGCTATTGTGGGGATGGCAGCAGGGCACTGGGGCAGCCTGGGGCCCATCGCCTGAGGTCTGCAGGCTGGAGGGGTGTTCTCCTCCCCACCCTCCCCATTCGGACCCTTGGGCTCTGTGCTTTCCGGGTGTTCCAGCTCTCCGCCACCCTGGCCCAAGCAGCCCCCACTGTCTGCCCTGCTGTGCCTCTGCATAAATGCTTTCCCCACCAAGCAAGCCCAGCGCATTCTAAGGAAACCTCGGCACTGCCTGGCTCTGCGTCTGAGCTGCCTGCCCTCTGGCCCTCTCACCACTCCTGAGACCAGGGGACGTCCTGCCACTGCCTTGAAGCCAGTGCTGCTCCTGCCCGCCCTTGCCTCTCCACACTATTCCCAGCTCCTCCAGGGCCAAGTAGTACTTCTTCCTCCTGATTGCAACCTCCAGAACTCAGGCGCATGCGTGGTGACCAGCCCAGTGCCCAGCATGGGATGCAGCCCCGGTGGCCCAGGCTGACCCGAGGTGGAGGCAACCTGTATTCCTTGTAAATACAGGGCATAGGCCCATCCCTCGCCTATGGAAGCCCAAGCCTGGGCTTGATTTTCTCTGTTGGGGGGTTGCCCTGGGCCACCCACACCCTCACCCCATCCATCCGTGGGGGCACTTGCTGGCAGGGTTAGGGTCCACTGTCACTGGGAAGGCAGCAGGCCCACCTGCATGGTCCTGGACGCCGCCTAACTCGGAGCACCTCCAAGGGCGGCCCAGGCCGGGACCGCGCTTGGCCCTTCCCCACCCACTGCACCCCGTTAGCTTTGGGTTGCCCGGCCTGAGTGGAGAGAAGGGCTAGTGGTGAGCATCAGGGACGCCGCACAGTGAAACGGGACTCACCAGGAACAGGGAGAGCAGAGCAGAGAGAAGCTCAGAGGCCCACACACGGGCAGGGCAGGGAGCAGCAGCAGATTTGAACAGTGGGAAGAGGTAGACGGTGTGGACAGGACAGCGGCGAGGAAGCAACGGGAGGAATGTGGTCGCACGGCCGGGGCGGGTGTGTGGGTGGCAGGGGCCTGGCCAGGGGCCAAGAGAGACTGCCTCCTCCGGCTGGCTGTCCTGGCCAAGGTCTGACAGCACACAGGAGGGATGGGGAGACGTGATCAAGACAAACGCCACCTCTGTTAGTGCTGGAAAAGAAAACCCCACGGCCCCCGCCCCCTGTTCCTTCCCTCTCCCCACTCATAAAAGTCCCTGCACCCACAAGTTTCTTTGCGCCCACACATCTCCAGCTTCTCTCGGTCACTCCCTGCCCTGCTCCCAGGGCTCCCTGCCTCCTGGAGACAGAGCCAGCAGGGCCTGAGAGTCTAGGGTGGGAGCAGACATGGCGGGCTGGGAGGCGCCCAGGAACTGAGGCTCAGCAGTAGAACTCATTTTAAATAGCTTCCCTGTCTGCTGCTCTTTAGGAAGATGAGGGGGTGTGTGTTGCCAGGGACTGCCTTGGTGGCTGCGCTGGACTCTGCATAGAGCCAGGGGCTGAGGTAGCGCCCATGTGATTTGCTGCCCCCAGTGGAGGACACAGACGGGACACAGCAGCTCATCTGCTGAGACCCTGTGCCAGGAAGGCTGCCATGTTACTTCTCTGATAATTTCACGTTTGATCTTCACATGCATATAAACAGGTATGATTAGAAATATTACAATTTAGATGAGGATGCTGTCATTCAGAAAGGTGGGGATGCCCGAAGCCAGGGACTGGCTGGGGCTTGAACCCAGGTTGCCCTGACTCGAAGCCATCGCTCCCGGACACACTCCCTCAGTCCTCTGCAGGGACACTCCTCCATGACCTCCTCTCTCTATAGCGCCCAGAGCTCCTTTTCTTTCCTGCGCCCCCGTGAGTGCTGGCAGACAGGCCAGAGCCAGAGAGCTGCTAGTCATTAGCCGCTTGTGGCTATTTCAATTCATCAAAATTAAGCCAAACTAAAAACTCAGTTCCCTGGTCGGCTAAACTAGCCCCGTTTCAAACACTCAGTAGCCACCTGTGCCACACAGGACCGCATGGATCCAGCGTCACCACGTCAACGGTCCTGTGGTCAGCACTGGGCTGGGGTAGAGGCAGGACAGGAGATGGCAGAATGGGAGAGCCCCAGCAAGGCCTGGGGAGTTTGGGAGTGAGGGTCTGGGTGAGGGGGCAGCCAGAGGCCTGGTGGGCCCGGAGAGGGAGGAGGCAGCAGGTTGGCCCGACGCCGGCCCTTCCCTCCGATACTGATACTCTGGGCAATACCAGTGAGCAATTAACTGGCTGGGGTGGGGCCATGGCCAAAGCAGGAGGGAGACAGAGGTGATGAAGTTGGAAACACCTCTGCTCTTAGCAGGTCCCTGGGCTCTGGCCCTCCGGTCCTGCCTTTCCACCTGCCAGCCCTCCTTGATCCTACCCAGCTGTGAGCTGGCTTTCTGTTCGCTCGCTCATCCAGGCCAGGGAGCTAGCTAATGGGCTGCTGGGCCACCACCTCCCCTATTAGCCTTATTAGCCTCTTGCTCACAAACTGGAGTCAGGGTCATCCCCAGCCATGGGGGAGGGGCTGTGAGTGGCCGGTGAGTAACCAAGGCCCAGCTATGACAGGGGTCCCAGCCATTCCTCCAGGCTGAGCTGCTGGGACCCAGCACCCCTCCGGCTTCCCCTGAAACCCCCCAGAAGTGAGAGGCCTGGCTTTCAGAGTGCAGGTTCCTAGTTTCTGAGAGGAAAAAGGGCTCCCTGCCCAAAGGCACACTCGTAGGTGTGTGGTATGCATGGTTCCCGAGTAGGGAATGGGGAGAAAAAAGGGGAGTGTTTGTATATCCGGGGGAGGCGAGTGGGGGCTGAGTGAGGGATCACAAGGAAGGGGCAGAGGGAGCCAGCAGGGCGGAGCAGGCACCTGGGGAAAGGTGAAAGCCCAGCCTGCCTGGGGAGGGCTGGGGAGCTGGCCAAGACCAGGAAGGCAGGAGAGTGAGAGAGCAGGTGAGTGGGCCCCAGGGTGAGAGTGGCCGCCCGGAGTGGGCGGCCATGGGGCAGAGCGCCTGGTTCCGGATTAGGCAATGAGGAGCCAGAGCAGGCCAGGCAGGGAACAGCGCCCTGGGGCCCGTGGCACGGTACCCACACCGCAGGCAGCCGCTCTGCTGCTGAGTAGGCAGATGCCCGGCTGATTACATCAGCACCTCCCGGCCACACCAACTTCCCCCAGGCACCCTCCCCTCCCCACTGTGACTCCTGCCCAGAGAATGTCCATCCTGGCATAAAGGCCCTGGGTGTCCATGAGCTGCCGTCAGACAGGAGGCTGCGCCGTGAAGATGGGCTCCTCTCGGGCATCCCGGATGGGGCGTGTGGGAGGGCAAGGAATCGTGGCACTGCTGTTGGCTGGGCTCCTCCTGCCAGGTAGGAGGCTGGGGACCCTGCAGCTGGGGAGGAGGGTAGCAGACACGGGCCAGGGCACACAGGGGTCCCAGCCAGGGGCCAGGGCAGGGACTGGAGTCTGCCCTTGAGTCTGGGCTGCTCTTCAGGGCCTTGCTGCCTCAGGCAAGTTACCTCAAGGGACTGAGCCTCAGTTCCTGAAACTGAAAAGGGCTAGCATCTCTGTGAGCCTCGCAAGCATCTCTGTGAGCCTCGCCTAAATACTGTCTGTGACAAGTACTGTGGACATGCTAGAGGCTCTGTGAATGCTGGTTGTCATTAGAGCATTGGAAGATGATGGCACATTTTATAGTCATAGCAATCGCTGCTATTTACGGACCCTGTTCCTGTGCTGGGCACTGTTCTAGCACTTTAAAGGCTTTAGATATCAGCGCTTTGGCTCACTAGAAGAAGCCTGTGAGTGAAGACCGGCTTTTCCCACTCTCCCCACAAGGGCATGAGGCTTGGAGCGGCCAGGAAACAAGCTCACAAACCAGAAAGCAGTAAAGCAGGTGCAAACCCAGGCTGTGCAGTTGAGCATGGACGTTTCCAGTAACCTGGCCCGTGGCCCGGGGCTTGGAGTAGACTATGTGGTACCTGAGGGCAAAGGAGGAGAGGAACCCCTGAGACTGGAGGAGCTGAGAAAAGGGGGAATGGGCAGAGTTTGGTGTGGAGGAGATACCGACAGCTTCTTTTTGAGGAGAGAAGGGGGAAACCACAGACTGTGTAGAGCAGCTCATTGGAGGAGAATTAAAGAAGCACGGCAGTAATAAATCACTGTCTGAGGCTTTATGCTTTTTAAAGCAGTTTCTGCGCAAGTCGTCACAGCCGCTGGTACAGCTGTGAGGAAGGCAGGACAGATTCCAAATATGCAAAATGCCTTCCACAGTCTCTGCTGCAGGAGGCCTGAGGGGCTGAGGTGGGGGTGTAAGAAGGGGGGGTGCGGTGAGCTTGGGGCTCCGAACACAGGGTTAAGTCAAGAAGTGACTCCACATCCACGAGGGAGGTAAGGCAGGGGAGGCCGAGGTGGGCCTGGCGGGAGTGGGGGCGGGCGGGTGAGCGCATGATGGCTGTGTGGGGAGAGGGGCGCTGACAGCTGGTAAGACTTGGGAGGGCTGGCCCAGGGGCTGGGCCAGGCCAGGAGAGCAGGGGTGGCTGGGGTGCGGTGTCCTGTCACACTGGTATCAGCAGGTTCTGCTGCAACAGTCTGTGCCCCCACATCCAGCACCCCACCCAGCTTTCCTGGCATGGGCAACCTTGACATGGAAACAGAATCTCCATCCTTGACCAAGCCCTGCCCCACCCAGGGCCGGAGTCAGCTGGTTGCACGCAGCCCCCTGCCACCGACTTCTTCCCCGCCTCGGGGGCTCCTCTTGCTGCCCGTCTCAGCCGTCTGCGGCGCTGTCATTTGTCCACTCTCTTGGTCCCAGTTTTCTCTCCTCCTGGTTTGTGCCCCACCTCTCAGTGCTGGTCCCCCCTGCTCTCTTTCTGGGGTTCCTTCGGGTAGCTCCAGGTGTCCTGCTGCTTCTCTGGTCCCCTCTCTCTCCATCAAGGCTGTCTAGTCAGAGGTCTCATTTTCCCCCCTCTGGTGGGTGTTTGGTCTTCCTTCCTCCCTGCCCCCCAGAACAGTGAAATTGCCTTACTCTGTCCTCGCATGTCAGCCAGTGCCTCCTCCCTTTCCGCTGGCTGCGGACCTCCCTGGGCTCTGCTCAGGGGAGTAACAATGGCAGGTGACAGAGAAGTGCCTGAAAGTCGAGGGAGAAGCCAAGGCTTCGGGTGCTTCCTGACTGCTACCTTTCTCCCCAGGGACCTTGTCGAAGAGCATCGGGACCTTCTCAGACCCCTGCAAGGATCCCTCTCGTATCACCTCGCCCAATGACCCCTGCTTCCGTGGGGGCTCCAGTAACATCAACGGGCACAGCAGCTCCAGCAGTTCCAGCTCTGGCGGTGGCTCCGGAGGCAGCTCGGGAGGTGGCTACGGCGGCAGCTCCGGCGGTGGCTACGGGGGAAGCTCCGGAGGTGGCTCCAGTGGCGGCTCCAGTGGCATTTACAACGGTGGCTCTAGCGGAGGCTTCGGTGGCATTTACGGCGTTGGCGGCGGCTCCGGTGTCGGCTCCCACGCCTCCAGTGCCGCTCAGGGTGGTTCTTCGGGATCTTCAGTATTTAAGCCAGGAACAGGGTATTCCCAAGGCAGCTACTCTGGACCTGGCTCTGGTCTACTAGGCGCCTCCAGCTCCTCCCACTCGGAGAGCGGCTCCTCCCACTCGGGGAGCAGCAGCTACCATTCCGGGAGCAGCAGCTACCCCTCGGGGAGCGGCTCCTCCCACTCGGGGTCTGGCTCAGCCCTGCCAGTCAACGATGGCTCTTCCCACTTTGTGATAAGCTCTTCCCAGTCTGGAGGAAGCTCCAGCTCCGGTTCCCAAGCCTCCTGGAAGTCCGGCAGCAGTGGCGGGAAGGTCAACTCCAACTCGCGCCCCTGTAGTTCAGATATCCCTGACTCTCCCTGCAGTGGGGGGCCCATCGTCTCTCACTCCGGCTCCTACATCTCCAGCTCCCACTCCGTGTCAGGGGGTCAAAGGCCAGTGGTGGTGGTGGTGGAACAGCACGGCTCCGGGGGACCTGGGGGGGCTCCAGGGGGCCCCTGCAGTACTGGTGGCCTTTCAGGCAAGCCCTGCCCTCCCATCACCTCTGTCGAGCAGTCCTACGGCGGCTATGAGGTGGTGGGCGGCTCCTCCAACAGTTACCTGGCCCCGGGCATGACCTACAGTAAGGGCAAAATCTACCCCGTGGGCTACTTCACCAAAGAAAACCCTGTCAGAGGCTCTCCTGGAGTCCCCTCCTTTGCAGCTGGACCCCCCATCTCTGAGGGCAAATATTTCTCCAGCAATCCCATCATCCCTAGCTCTTCCGGTTCCAAGTATCCATCAGGAACATCCTCGGTCATTGTGTTCCAACCAGTGGGCTCTGGGGGCGTCCAGCCCTGCCGAATTGGCTCCATGAGTTCTAAGGGGCCCTGCTCACCCTTCAGTTCCGGAGTCCACAGCGGTTCTAGCAGCTCCAGCAGCTCCAGTTCATCCTATCACCCCTGTGGTGGTGTTTCCCAGGGGCCCTGCTCCTCAACAGGCACGGGCTCCTTCAGCGGCAGCTCCAGCTCTCAGTCAGGCGGCAGGATTATCCTTCAGCCCTGTGGCAGCAGGTCCAGCTCTTCTGGTCAACCTTGCATTTCCGTCTCCTCCTCAACATTGAGTGGGGGTCCTGATGGCTCTCCCCAACCAGATCCCTCAGCCGGTGCCAAGCCCTGCGGTTCTGGCAGCTCTTCCAAGATGCCTTGCCGCTCCATCCGGGACATATTGGCCCAAGTGAAGCCTCTGGGGCCCCAGCTAGCTGACCCTGAAGTCTTCCAACCCCAGGGAGAGTCGCCAGGCAGTGCATAAGCCAGCTTTTCATATACACACGTGCAGTCATGTGCACTCACACACACAGTCCCCCATTGGGAGAAGCCCAGGGGTCCACTCACGGGGTTAGCTCAGTTTTCTGCCTCACTCGCAAGAGAACTGCTGTGCTTTCTCCATGTCAAATAAGGCAGCCTCTCCTTAGCAGCTCTGTTTCCTTCTTTTCCCACATGGTGGGCGCCCTTATCATCCTCTCCTACTTTTTTGAGTCCCATTCTACATCAGTGCTCTCCCTGACAGAATATGCTCACTGTTTCTTTGAAATGGTAGCTACCCTTTCAGAAGTTTAATGGGAATCCGTCAGAATGTCCCAGAATAGTTCTGATGCCTGGACAAGACATTTCCCTTCTCCCAGTTGCCAGATAAAGCACAATGCAAAACATTTTCTGAAAGCAATAACCACTTTTTACTGGCCTGTCCTGGGCATCTGGTCAGGCCATGTGACAAGCTACTGGGTTCTCACACGCCTCACGCCACACCCACCAGCCTCCTGGGAGAGCTTGCCACACCCTCGTGCTTCCCCACACACCTCCTCAGAAAGTCTCCACCTCAGCTCACCTTTCTGGCTGCCACTTCCCTCAAGACCAGCTATTTCTCTGGGTGAGGGAGATGCTGGGTGTCTGGGGAGGTTGGAGCAGGATCCCTGCTTTCTCTGGATCCTGGACAGGTGTCTCAATAAACTGTGTAAACCAGATACAGACTTTTTGCTTTCTTGGACTCCTGGGTCTCCTCTGAAGAGCTAAGTGAGCTCTTTTATGCCTCTAGAGGTCCCCATGTCCCCATTTTCATCCGAACATTGGTCCAGAATTTCTCAGACCTTAAGGTTCCTCTCACAGTAGACGTAGTAAATATTTGACAAACTGAAAGCAGGGCTACCTGGTTGCCCAGCTCCTTCCTCCCGCTGCTTCCCTCTCTTGCTTCCCTCTCATTGCTGCAGGAAATCCATTTGCTCCCCACTGCCCATTCACCTTTCCATGCTCCCCTCTCCCTAGATGGAGCCCTAATGATTTCCTCCCCCTTCCACCCAAGGTTTTGCTCCTGTACCAGTAGTTTGCCTCACCTTCTATACGCCATTCTCTCTGGGAGTCCTGGGTTTCTGGGACGCCTGGAAGACTGGAACACCCCAGACCAGATTCCTGGTGATTGAGTGGGAGCCCAGGCAGGCGTTGCTCTGGGAGAGGGAGGTGGAGAGAGCAGCAGAGTGTGGCAGCATGTCAGGGAGTGCCACCCAGCACGGTGACTCACCAGCCTGTATAAAAATGCCCCGGCCGTGGCAGACCAGAGCCAACAGTGTCCTCTCCAGCTCCACGCTCTTGTTGTCTCTGCTGGGATTCTCTGGGGTCTGTGGGAGGCAGCGGACCACTGTGGAGAAAGGGAGGGGCTTTTGTGGGAGAAGAAAGAAGGTGGAGGGGGCGGGTGTGACTATGTCCTGGAGACAGACATGGAGAGCTAAGCCAAAAAACTTGCCGTCTTCCAACAAGGGAAGTGGGCTTTGCTGGTCCTTACAGGAATGATCTTACCCAGAGCACAGGTTGCCTATTAGGACCCCTGTTTAGCTGCACAAGAATTCACCCCAGCCCTAGGATCGAACCAATTTCCTATGGTGTTAGCTAGTCCCTACAGGACTATTGATGAAATTCCAAGTTATGAAAAAGGAGGAATGTGTAACATTGACCAGAAATGACCTGGGGTAGCTGAGTCGACCTGCAGAGGTGAAATCAAAGGAAGGGTGTAGAGTAGCCCCGTTTCTGTCATCACTGTGAGTCACCCTTGCTTGGGTATTTGATTTCTGGGCTTAGCTAATGACAGGCGTCAAAGACTTCTTGCAGTTGTGGAGAGAGATAGCCTAGTCAAAAGAACTGGCAGAACTGCCAGCTATCACCCAAAAGGCTGCTGCCCCCCACCTATTGGCCATTCTGGAGAGGAGTGCTTCACTCTTCCAGTAGCTCGTCAGCAGGAGCTAGGGATGCAGCTGGAACAGTAAAATCTAACAGTAAGTATTTAGACTTCATGCAACCAGGAAAACTTAGTCTGGCTGCATTATCAATAGGAGAAGGAAGGCATTTAAATACTTTTTACTGGAAAACTTCCAAATGTACTTAACAGCAAACAGTTAATGAATCCTTATGCTCCCATCCCCCACTTTAGTGATGACCCACAAATAGCAATTTGACAACAGCATTTAAATGTCCTCCCCTAGGCCCTCCCTGGTGGTGCAGCGGGTTAAAGCACAGCACTGAGAAGCTAAAGCCACTTCCACACAAGTTCGATTCCCGCCTGCCCCGGAGGTGACCACATGGTGTGGCAAACCTCTCCTGACCCGCCCACTGCTCCCTTCAGCAGTGTACTTCATGGATCTGCCTGTTCTGTTCCCCACTCTGTCTATGGTGAAGCCTCTCACTGCACCTGAGCCTCTGGCCTGTACCCCAGTTCTGTATGCACAAATAAATAAATCTAAAAAAAAAAAGTCCTCCCCTAAATGCAAATAGCCAACAGACATATGAAAAAAAAGTTCAACATTACTTATAACCAAGGAGATGCCAATCAAAACCATGATGAGATACCACCTCACACCAGTGAGAATGGCACATCTTCAAACAACTAGCAACAACAAATGTGGAAAAAAAGGAACTCTCCTGCACTGCTGGTGGGAATGTAAACTGGTGCAACCACTAAGGAGAGCTGTGTAGAGGACCTCAAAATGGAGTTTCCATATGATCCAGCAATTCCGCTCCTATGGGTCTACCCAAAGGACACAAAAAATTACTTCAAACAGATACCTGTAGGCCTACCCTGGTAGTGCAAGGGGTTAAGTCTTGGCACTATGAAGCTATCCACAGCCACAGCACTATGAGTTGGATCCCTGACCAGGGAGGTGATCCACACTGAACAGCAGACCTCTCCTGTCTCACACACTGCTCCCAGTTTCAGTGTATTTCAGTTGATCCGCCTGTTCTGCTCCCCACTCTGTCCCTGGTGAATCCTCTCAACCCGCACCTTTGGCCTGTACAGCCGTGCTTGTATGCATAAATAAATAAATTTTTAAGAAAAAAGAACCTGAACCCCTATATTTATTGCAACACTATTTACAATAGCTAAGATATGGAAACAACCAAATGCCCCAAAATAGATGACTGGATCAAGAAGAGGTGGTGTATATACACAATGGAATTCTATTGTATTCATGCCATTTGCAGCAACATGGATGGAGCTGGAAGAGATTATGTACCGTGAAATAAGCCAGAAAGGAAAATAAAAATATTGGATGGTTTCACTTATAGGAGCAATGCAGGGGAAACAAATCAGGAAAAAATATAATAAATTAAAAACAAAAATTAACAGGCAACTAAAAGTCATTGACACTCTGCAGAGGGGAGGGAGAGGGATCAAAACATGGGAGGGAAGAGCAAGGAACTGTGGTGAAAGGATGAGGGGAATTCTACAGGGACTACCCCAGAGAGGAGAGAGCATACACTGTACAAAGAGGAAGAACGATGTAAAAAAAAATATATATATATATAAATAATAAATATCCCCTTTACTGTTAGTTGGGAACACTTGCTCTCTTGTGGGATTTCTGTATTCTATGGGATCATCTGTGGCAGGCAGAATAGTGTCCCACAACCCCACCCCAGCACTAAAAGATCCTCTTCCTAATCTCTGGAAACTGTGACTATATCAGGTTACATAACAAAGGGATGAATTGTAGATGAATTGAAGGTTGTTAGTCATCTGATCATTAAGTGGAGAGATTATTCTGGATTATTTGGGTGGGCCCAGTGGGTCTTTAAGTATAGGAGAGGGAAAAAGAGGAAGTCACCAGTGGTGCAATGTGAGAAGGTCCTGGTGCTTCTGGTTTTGAATGGAAGGAAGACCATGAGCTCAGGAGTGGTAGAGCCCTGGAAACTTCAAGGAAATGGGTTCTCCTGGGAACCACAGGTTCTAGACACCTGATTTTAAACAGATGTGACCCATGTCAGACTTCTAAACCTTAAAACTGTAAGGTAATAAATATTGTGTTATTGCAGGCATTACATCTGTGATAATTTATTTTATTTTATTTTTTTTAAGATTTATTTATTTGTGCATACAGAACTGGGTTACAGGCCAGAGATGTGGAGGGTGAGAGGATTCACCAGAGACAGAGTGGGGTACAGAACAGGCAGATCAACAAAGTACACCTCTGAGGGGAGCAGCGGGCAGGTCAGGAGAGGTCTGCCGCACCATGTGGTCACCTCCGGGGCAGGCGGGAATCGAACTCATGCGGAAGTGGCTTTAGCTTCTCAGTGCTGTGCTTTAACCCGCTGCGCCACCAGGGAGGGCCTATTTTATTTATTTTTGACACATTAATTTTTTCAGATACTCTAGTTACACATGGTCCAAGAATACGCAGATAATAACCCAAAATATAGTCAGATGTTAAAGATGGGTCTTCAGGCCCTCCTTGATGACACAACGGGTTAAAGCACATTGCTATGAAGCTATCCGTAGCCACTGCAGCCACTGCAACATGAGTTCGATCCCTGGCTAGGGAGGTGACCCACATGGCCCAGCAGACCTCTCCTGTCTCACTCACTGCTCCCCTCAGCAGCGTATTTCAGTCAATCTGCCTATTCTGCTCCACACTCTGTCTCTGGTGAATCCTCTCACCCCCTCCACCTCTGTATGCATAAATAAATAAATAACTCGTTAAAAAAATAAAAAAGACAGGTCTTCAAACATTATAACCAATGAGGCCACACTTGCCTAAGATCTTGCCACACAGAACGACATCCATACCTCTGTGGCCACCAAGACCTTCGGCAGGAAATCCTTAACTGTGAGTGTTTGAAGCTACCAGCCTAAGTACGACTATTTTTTCAAACTGTAGGGGTCTCAGCAGGGGTAGAAGGAACCAGCTCAACCTTGCCATAGTTCCCAAGTGTGGCACCAGAAAGTTACAGCAGTTCCTATCAGCTCTGGGTAAATTGAGGTAACTTATCTAGCAGTCGAAAATTAATACACCATGATCACTTAAGGATGGGAAGGAGGTCTGTTTCCTCAGATACAGGGTCTGATCTTGGTACAACTCCTCTCATGGGGACTACTGCTGCACCCCAGTCTCCTTCAGGTTGGGGTGAAGCAGAGGAGCTGAGAGATGCATAAGAAATAAGGATCGCACTCATGTTGCAGTGGCTTCAGTGGCTACAGATACCTTCATAGCGCTGTGCTTTACCCGTTGAGTCATCAAGGAGGGCCTGAAGACCCACCTTTAACATCTGACCATATTTGAGTTATTATTTGCGTATTCTTGGACCATGTGTGACTAGAGTATTTGAATAAATTAATGTGTCAAAAATAAATAAATCATCACAGACATAATGCCTGCAATAACACAGTATTTATTACCTTACAGTTTTAAGGTAAGGAGAGAATGATCTGAAGCCCAAAGACAACGACCAGAGGATCCAGTGTTTCTCCTGTGACAAAGGCACTGAAGAGACCAGGGTGGAGGTCCGTGTGCGCTTGGCACATGGAGCCAGCGTGCGCCGTGAGCCAGCACACCTGGGGTAGGAGAGGGCGGCAGCTGGAGGAAAAAAGCCCGCGTGGGAACACCCTGGGACATTCAAGCTGCGCCTGTTGCTAAAGACTGACTTAGGAATGAGGGTGGAATGTGGAGATTACTGTCAGCGCAGCCACTGGCCCCGCCTGTTTCTGCTGTCCCCCACCCCACTAGCAGGATAAAGGTCTGGCTGTCTTGGGGCTGAGGGAGATGCTGGAGCTGAGCAAGATGCAGGGCCACATGGTGAGGAGCTGGGCTCCTCTGGGTGTGCTCCTGCTCTGTCTGCATCTCCCAGGTACGGAGGCTGCGCTGGCCCTTGTGCAGGGGGGTGGGGGCTTTTGGGGAATTAAGGGAAGCATAGAGGCAAAAGGATACACTCTTGGGTGCCTGGGAGAAGGGGGAGCAGTGTAGGGGGAGGAAGAGACTTGAGGGACTGAAGTGAGTCAGTCAGGGAGTCGGGGAAGGGAAGGCACTGGGAGCAAACATTCCACTCTTAGGCTGCCTCCTTTCTCCTTTCCTCAGGCCTCTCTGCCCGGAGCATTGGTGCAGCGGAGGAGAAAGCTGCCCAAGACTTAGGGGCCAATGCGATTCTGCCTGGACAACCTTCTTCAACTGGCCCCTCCAACTCTGAACATCCTCAGTCCAAACCAGATCCTGAGTCTAATGATTTAAGGAGTGTTCCTCTGAGCCCCAGTGCCTCTCCATCAGATGGCTCCCAACCCGCAGGGGGTCCTGGGGCTCAGAGTTGGCCCCAGTATGGCGGCCTGCCTTATCTGGACTCCTGGGCCTCTGAGGAGCCTTTGCAGATGACAGCCACTGGAGATGAGGATGCTGTGGGGGGAGCGTCTCCCCAAGGCCTGTATTTCTTTTCTAATGATGCTGACCTGCCTCCAGGCAATGGGCCTTCACCTGCAGGGTCCTCAGAACACCCCTCTGGGGCGCAGCCTGAGACTTCACTCTCACAGAAGGACCCTAAAGCTAAACAGCCACCTCTTTCTAATATGGGGGCCCAAGAACAAACTTCTACTGAGCGTCCCTTCTGGAATCTTATTAACAGGATTCGCCAGTCCATTCTGTCCGGCCGCCCCTGTGGGCTCCTGAAGCCCAGAGGGCCCTTGGGAGGCAGAGGTCCTGCATCCGGAGTGGCCACAAGGCCCATGCCACAACCTGGAGGGCTCGGCGGGATCAAAAATCCACAGTTTGGGGGGCTCGGTGGTATCAAAAATCCACAGCTTGGGGGGCTTGGAGGTATCAAAAATCCACAGCTTGGGGGGCTCGGCGGTATCAAAAATCCAAACCTAAATACTGGCTGGGGGAATATTAATCGGATTCCCGGGATCGGTGGGGGGAATATGAATCATTTTCCTGGTATGGGCGGGGGTAATGTGAATGGGTTTCCTGGTATCGGCGGGGGGAATATGAACGGGTTTCCTGGTATCGGCGGGGGGAATATGAACCCCGTTCCTGGTATCGGTGGGGGGAATATGAACCCATTTCCGGGTCTCGGTGGAGGCATTATTAATCGCATTCCTGGTATCGGTGGGGGGAATATGAACCCATTTCCCGGTCTCGTTGGGGGCATTATTAATCGAATTCCTGGTATCGG